AAGATGCAACAATACACATGACAAAAATGGCAAACGATAATAATAAATAATATAAACAATGTACCGAAACGAATCTTCAAATTACAAGCCACAAAAATAATACACGCTCTTGATTTAAGAGAAAGCATTTTCATCTTAAAAGACAACATAGAAAATGAGATGAAAAAGAGAAAACAACAAGTTCTGGAACATGCACGTAGTCATACACATACTTTGTATACACATTGTATTCGAATGCTTAAGTATGTTAACACATGCAATGTTCTTCTTATGAATAATTAACTCGAACAAATAAATAATAAATTTTTATCTTTGCAACAATTTGCAGCTGTGTTTGTGAGCGCTTCTCGACATTGATGTGAAACAGTTTACAAAATCACAACACACACACATATCAATGTATGATGTTAAATATTCAGATTTAACAATGTCAAGAACTTTAGTCGTAAAAGTTCAACTTAAGCTTATACATGACAACTAATTGAGATTCAATGTTGCTCGTTTATTGTGCCTTTTCACAATACTTGGAAATCTGTATTTTTCCCCTGCCATCAAATATATACAATTTTTTTCATATAATTACTTAAGATTTTATATTATCAAAAGCCTTTTATAAGATAAAGCACATTGAAGAATAAATAATGCTCGAAAAAATTAATGAGTGAACAGATTTTTCACCATTAATATAACGAGTTTTCCTCTTAATCTTACAAACTTTTTCTACTGTGTGCTTAGAATATAGTTACTCGGATAAATTTCTGTTTGAGAACTGCATACACATACATAAAAGAATTGATATGCATACACTATTGTCTGGCTAGAATATACAGATTGGCTGACATGAACTATTTGATTGGCTGTGAATAAAAGTGGAAATAGTCGATTTCAAATGTTCTCAATCTCATTTCTTTAATAAGAAGTTGCAAACGATCAACTATTTCCAATTATGTTCTGAAGCACTCGAAAACAAGACAAAAATTTGAATTTTTGGTATTTCAAAGAGGTAAAATTCAATTCAAAATCGTTTGCATTTGATAGGTATTCATAAGATGAATTTTATGACATAAACTGCATGTATTTTCTTTTTGTACATGTGTGAAAATGTTTTGAATTTTAATTATACATCTATGGTGGAGATTTGGGATTTTGTGATGAATATCGCTTTATGTAACAATATGCAGCTCAACATTGTAAATCTGTCGGCTTAATTCGCATGCATGCTGGTAAATGTTGTATTTTTTGTGACAGTGGAGAATGGAGACCTTTTCTCCTATACAAAGTCACATAATGTGGCGACATTTTCAATTATTTCAAGCCTGCTTTCAATCAGATCGGAATAAGACTCTTACGGTGCAATATAAACATATCACATCATTCAAGTAACTTGGAACGAAAGCTGCCTGGACATTAATATGGTCAAATTGAAACATAACAACATGAGACTTCCTTTTGAATGCAAATTGAAATGAAAATCGGGTGGTAAACAGTTTACTGATGATTATAAACAGACAGAATATGAAAAAAATAGATTTGCATTGGATAGCCTGATAAAAGGTTCAAAAAACAAATGAGAATTGCAATCTCTGTTAGGTAAGTGACCCATTTTTCTTTGAAATGAATATGGATTTTCACCTCATAAAATGATGAAGTATTTACAGCTTTATTTAGTTATGTTCATTTGCTGTTGTTGGTTGTTATTGGAAAATATGAATTATCTATGTACAATTTTTTTCCCCACTGAACTTTAACCTGATACCATTTTGAAAGCCATTTAAATACAATCTCTCTCCTTTCTATACTGATCCTCCTAATACTGATTTCATATCGATTCTTCTCAAATTATAATCAAATTAATTAATAACTCAAGATATTAATATCCATAATAAATGTAAAATGATATTTACTCCTTTTTCTTTCATTTTTCGTCTGTAAGAAATCCAATTATTATCACATTATCACATATTTTTGGTGGAGTTATATTCCAAGTTGGAAACAATACATCAACATTTATAAAATGACAAAAGTCATTTAATTCCGACAAACAGGGACATGAGCTTGACTTGACATTGATAACCTCAAAGTGTTAAAAGGTGTTGAATACTCCAATACTATCATTGGTCCATCATATTTAATACATAATCTAGTCAATCAATCATGACAGATATGCACACTTGAAAGCTGTTGCCGTTTGTTTTTAATTTAGAATATGATTCCACTAAATCATTAAAAACCGGAATGGTATAAAAAGTCTATATTACGGAGTTTGCTACTACTGATTCCGAAAGGGAGAGAGTTTATTTGGTGCTACTCATTTGAGCGCTGAGTACACATTGAATACATTTTACCGGATGCCGCGATTATATAGCACATGTAGCTGAAAAGTACACAATCCCATTTTTTTACACAAATTGAAATTTACAGTTGGATAAACAAAAATTATACGAAAAAAAATTATCGAAACCACACACAAAATTTATTTTATTGTATATGAAATTCGATTGTGGTTTGGCATTTAAAGCATTTAGATTGGAAATATTTTGTCAATTTTGGAATAATTACTTATATAAAATCATGGATTTATTTCAATTAGGAAGAAAATGTATTGAAATTCCTTCAGATTTATATTCACCGATTTTTCAATCACTCTTTATTCCATTTTCGAAACATTTTAAAATAAACATTCATCTTGATAAATTGTGGCAAGTGTGCAATCAGTACTGATAGTGTGTAACAATTTAAATCGAAAATCGTTTATCAAAATCTGAGTAATAGTAAAATCGAAGTCAAAAACCATTGGGATTGAAATTTGTCCGAAATAAAATCAAAAACGATTGAGAAAAGAACGGTCAAAGCAGCGAGCAAAAGTTTTTGCTTCGAAAATCAAACAATATTGACCAAAAGATTAAAAAGTTTCTGTTCGAACTAACGCTGAGAAAAACTTATCAAAGAAAGTGCATATACAATTCGAAGTGCATACACAATATTATTATAGTATATGTAAGTAAAACTTCACAACTGAGCAATCAAACAGCAAATCAGTCCAGCAGTAATTTATAATTTCGAAAATAGTTTAATAATAATTGGCGTTTAAAAAAGTAATTCCGAACCAAGCTTTCAAAGGCAACAGGCTGATTATAGTTTTACTAGCAAATGCATCTGATATCGAAGTGGCAAAACATTTCAAGTTTTTTGTGTCTATCTTCAATTTGCCTAAGGATTAGTTACAAAAGTTTTGTTTATCATTGACAATAAGTTGTCTATTCATCTGAATCTTCAAACCAAAGTTGCTGTCAAATCAAATTGGGCGTTTATCATCTTTGATTTTTCCTTTGATAGTGGAAACATTTTAGGGCCAGTTTCTCGATAGAATAAATTATCAATTGAAAGACTTCTTAACTTCCAAGATGCAAGAAACAGAACTTATAATCTTTCATTGATCTACAAAGGAAATTTCATGAGGCGTCAATAACATGATATTTTCATTTGGTTACTCATGAACTTTTTCATGTTTATCGACGAAAAATAAATTTTCCATCTTTCATTTAATTTCCAGTTTGTTTCGTAAGTCCTGACGAGAATCTTGCATAAAAAATATGCACAAGGGAACATTTTCCCGGTTAATTTCATCTTTTCCTTTTATTCCTTCAAACATGTCATTTCCATAGAAAAGAATGGACAAATAAACTAACACTTTACTGATGTTTATACAAATAAAAACCAAAATGTTTGAAAGCATATTATTAACGCGTTCTTAAATTCAAACTTGAAACAAAATGATTTCCCTCTGTAGATCAATGGGGTTCGTATTTCGATGAAAGTGTTCAGCTTTAGCATCTTTTTCCAATATAGCTACTTTTCTTCGGGAACAAAAGGAAACGTTATCAATCAATGAAATAACGTCTTTTAAATGAGGAGCTGTTTTTATTTCAACACTATTTTCCTTTTAAATGGAATCAAATTCATGAAAATGATATGTCATTTTTTGTAATAATACTAAAGTACATCAAAATGACAAACGTCCAAAAATATATTTCTATTAAATCGTTGATGTAATTTACACTGCAGCATTATGTTGTGCGTTCATGCAGTTTTCGCATTTTAATGCACCAATAAGCTGGTGTGTGTGAAATTTATATAGAGAAATGAAATCTTCAAAAGTTGTGAGAGAGGATGCTTGGCATCGAGATGCGTTCAAACCAATATCAGGCATTACTTTTTAAACGCGCAATAGTTATTGTTTGGAAGATTACTTCCTTTTCAATTTGGACAAATGCCAAGAACGAGCCCAAAAACAAATAAACAAAGTTTGCTACAATGAAAACTTTACGCTTTTAGCTGTTGTGTGATTCTTATTATAAAAACTCATCCAGAGAGCGAATGAGTGAACTGTACAAAAAGTGCCGACAAGATTTACGTCCTTTGATATTCGTTTATCAATGAATATATTGAGTTCAAAAAAAAAGACGTTGCGTTTCAAACAACACGCTGTTTGTGACTTGAATGAATGGCATCTGTTTATTCCGTGTCATTGGTTAATTTCACACTGCTTTTGTTTTATATAATCAAGATTTTACGCTCACGCCATTCACTCCATTTATAAAAATTTACCAAATTGTGTTCGCGTCTTTGAATTCGCACTTCGGTTGTGTCTGTGTCAAAAGCGAATAATCAGCACGGACACTTTATACGCTAAGATCACAGACAAAAACAATGTATGACGCTTGAGAGAGAGAAGGAGGGAGAGAGAGAGGGAGGGAGAGAGAGAGAGAGAGAGAGATGGAGAGAAATTGTTAGCGACGGAAAGCGTTCACTCTACTGATTATGTGATAAGCAACAAAAAGTTATTTGGCGACAGAAACAACCAAGAATTCTTCTTCCGATTAAAATAAATAAGCTAAAGCGGACTATGAAAAAGAATGTTTTTTTTTTTTATCAAATGGACACATTCTCTATGTTTTACATAGTGACAGAGAAATATTTTTTTTTATACTTGGACCAGTTTAATTTCTTAATTTGGCTTTTGTTTTAGCTGCTGATGCGCAATAGATGAACAAATTTTTAAAAATTTTGTTGACATCATTTTTGCGCACAAAATTTGTCTTGAATTTGGAACTAAGCCCAGTGAATATTTTAAAGCGTGTGCACGACATACTTCTTATGCATATTTTTTTTTATTTGTTTTTGTTATTATTACGCCGATTTCAAACTTGCAGTATTCTAGAAATTATATTCGAAAATTATCTTACCTGAATTTGGTTGTCCATTGCTATTCGGACGTGCTGATGGTGCTCCGTCACGTGCCTCAACTTCTAGTGCATAAGCTCCTTGCTTTTCACGATCGAATACAACTTTGGTGAATATTTCGCCACTTTGTAAGTTGATCTCAAAGAATTCTTTGCCTTCATTACGTGGTGAGTCGACAATATAATAGTACACCTTTTTTAAAGAAAAAAAAAATACATTTACAGTATGAAATACTTTTAATAAAAAAAAAACTCTAATGATGATTATATTTATGTATTTTTCGAAACCTCTTGTTTCACAAACATAATGTGATGTATTTAATATTTAAAAAAAAAACATTGAAAAATCTATAAATTCATTAATGAATTCACATCAAATATACATTAACACAAATAATAGTTTGACTTCGACTCTATTATTATCTACTTTTCAAATAAATTGGAAATTGAAGAAAAACAGTTAATGATTCATTAGTAGAACTATATATCGTCAATTTTCAACGACAATTCATAATTTACATTATCTCGTTGAACAAGTGAACTTGAGAAGAAATTTCCAATTAAAACGAAGTCTCAAGAACAATACGAATGAAAAAAGTTAATGTATTACCCCATCGAAAATGAATACTCAGCAAAAATAAGTTCATGAGCAAACGTAAAGGTAAGACCAACTCCAACTATTCGAACATTTTGTGAATCATTGAAAAGAAAGTAGATGATAAAAAGATTGCGACGGTGCAACAAAGGTCAGGCTAAAGTGAATTGAAATCGAAATTAACATTTCAACTACTTCCATTCGATTTGCTGCTTTTTCACATTCAATTGGCCAAATGGCATTATATCTCCACAAGTTTCTCGAAACCAGAGAAATTGCAACAGTCGATTAAGAGCTTAAATACGAAGTGACTTTGAAGTACTATTGCTTTTGTCTTGCCAAAGTATTTACGACTTCAGAGCACGTGTACGAAATCGCTACGTTCACAACAATTGCAGATTTTGTGATGTTTTGTAGGTTTTTTTTTCACCAAGCACGTATATTTTACAAATGCAATCTTGATTTTGCGACTGATTAGCGGAAAATAATCAACCTAATGGATTTCGAAGAAGATGTGAAATGTAAAATCAACTGTTTTTTTGTACGAGCGGCAAAGCAGACGAACAATACGATAAAAGAAAACTTGAAAAATTTGCTGACAATTTTATTGCGAGGATAAGAATGCAGATAATGCAATTTTATCGGTGAAATTATTTCTATGAAAGTTTCATCACTTGAATTTTAAAATATATTAAAAAATGTTCAATGCGGCGACGATGTGTGTTATTTAATGATGCGTGCACAACTCATGACAACAAACATCTCGAATACATTGCGCACTAGCTCCTAGTTCGTTGCATTTTACCTATTTACGAACTGCATTTCAAATTGTTTAAATAACACTTAAAATATTGAGCTATCTGAAATTGCACTCGAAACTAACACTTGCTTGTAATGCAATTTGTTTGTCGAATTCAAAACGAAATATAGAGCAAACTTCAATTCATGCCATCCACACTTTGGCATGCTTCATCGAAGTGTACTGTTCAGCAGCAATTTGTGTCATTACAGAAAATTTCCAGCAAATATACAAACTTTATATAAAATTGAATGCGAAAGAGAAAACAAACTGGTAAGAAAAGATTCGTAAGACATACCTGATTATTCGGGAATGTTCCATCCTTATCGATGGCATTCACTTGCGTTACTTTTGTTCCGATTGGTTCGCCTTCAAGCACCGTTTCTTGTTCACGTTCGGTAAATAATGGGATTTCATCGTTAACATCTTCCAGCATTATATAAACTGTGGCTTCCGATGCTAGTTGTTGAGCACCATTATTCTGTATTTACATCAAATAGAAATGGAGAAAATAGAGAAAATAATGAAATTAAACAAAGAAAAAGCAAATGAGATAGATTTTGTGCGATTTTGATATATTAAACGGTACCGCTTCAAAAACCGGTCGTATCTCGTATGAAAATTACATTCCAAAATTCTATCACGTCGTTTACATTACATAATGAATTGAAGTAGCTAATTCTCGTGATTTTATCTCACTGAAAATTTGTCATATTATTATTTCTTTTTTTAATTTATAAATGAATTGAATATGAGCTAATGAAATTAACAGAGAGATTAAAAGTAAACGTCAAAAATGAATTTTCCATTGCACGTTTCGATTCGAGCACACTTCACATAGTTTCCATTTATCTTATGACATACTACGTTCAAGAAACAATAACAGACCTGCAGCAACAGCCGCCAGAGCACCAATCTAGAATAAACAATCGACCGCCGTTAGTCAATATATACTTTCGATCAACTCTGATTATTGAACTTATCTCGAAGCACGAACTGATTTGTAACCAAATCAAGCAACATATATAAAAATGCCAAGCAATAAAAAACGGAGAGAGAAAAAAGAAAAATAACATTGTCGAATCAATTTTGGCGAAGAAGATTGAGTCTGCATACCAATCGCGTAAATTATTCTAGAATCGAATGAGTCACAACATTCAATGTTTTGGCTTAGGGATCTTGTTGTTGTTTGAAGATTTATCGTTATTCAACTCGTTTAACTTATGTTACGATTCGGCTTTTTGCCTTCCAATTTAAATTATATATGGAACTTTTTTTCATTAAAGCAGGTCGTTCAAAAATCCTTATTCTATTATCAATAACAAAACAAAGCATAGAAGCTTTGAAGTGCCTCACATTTACACATTCATATAATTGAGGAGAGAGTTAAAAAAGCCGTTATGGCGAAAAGTGTCGATTTTTTTTAAGAAATAAAATGAACAAACCATCATGTTAACTTGAAATAAATTCATGTGCTATAATTGATGTAACATTTTTACCATGTAAACTGTCCTATTATATATGCAGTGAAGTAGATCCAATCGGGACCCATTCAATTTGTAAGTTTCATAATATAATTTAAATTACATATCCATTTTATGTTAATGCTTTCTTTTTCCCAACGAATTAATTATTCGTTCATATTTTCGTTGGAAATGTTGTCATTTTATTACAAAACTCATTTCATGAGAATGAATACTTTGATTTTCTTGAAAAGCATAGTATAATTGAATAATGATGATTTTCGTTGAGTGTTCTCTCTTTTTTAGTGCCTTTTGAATGGGATAAATAAAATTTTCAAATGGCATACAATTCATGGAGTATTCCATTCTTAAATGAAATCTGTGCATACATGTGCCATGATAATGCAATGACCGAATGTTCCATGTCTCCTTCATGCGATATACTATAAAAACATGATCTAACATTATTTTGTAAACTCAAATCCAATGTATGTATGCATGTACATTGTACACAGTATACATTGAATATAAAATACAATGTGTAACATTTTATAAACACTTTCCTTCGTTCGCTTGTATTTGCAACAAATAGAATGTTGACGTGTATGTGATTGTGTTATAAATACACATATTGGACACCATGCATGCCATTTATTTGCGTACGAATTTTAATTTTGAAAAGGATAATATTCATTCAAAAGAGAAATCAAAGTGGCACCGGTTTGTTATAAGCGGCAAAGTTTTGCCATCATCATTATTCTGCAGTAGTGTAGATGAACAACTCTCTTGTAGATACTACAAGTGAAAAATGTTCATAAATATGGCATCCTTAATCACTTTGAAACATCATCACGATGACAACGAAGCCTTACTACATGTGCCATTCATTACGTTATGAAACGTATTTTTTATTTGAGCACTTGTTAATTTGCACGTGTTTCAAACTTTGCAATTGATTTTTACGTAGCTTGTCCAATGTAAAAAACATACTGCATCGAAAAAAAGTTGCGTGTAGTTCTGCTGCTCTGCATTGACTACCTTTAATTTAGTGCCAGCAATGGCACATTATGTTTTAGTTAGCGCGTTCTGTTTTTTTTTATTAGAGAAACTCTTTTAAATATCCAAAACTGATTTGAAATTCAGAATATTTCTCTCTTTCTAACACAGGTTAGTAAGCAGCTTGAACAAATTTTTTCCGAAATTCAACCACAAAAGCAATGTTAGCTTATAATATTTGAGTTTATATTTTCAACTACGGCCAATTAGCCAATCACATTACATTTAACCCAATTACATAATTGACTATTACAATTATCGTTTCACATCATTACCGCTTCAAATGTTCTCAATTGTCAAATGAGTTGGCGCTCTTTTGTTTTAATTTAGTCACATAAATGTTTCATCAAAAATTAATTAGAGAAAACTATTTACAAAATGTATTTCTATGAATGGTTCGGCTGTTGTTGTTTTATGAATAAAAAGTGACAGAAAATGTTGGTCGACAAACTGTCGATTTGAATTGTGATTTTATCAGGGAGCATGCCTCCGAGTAGGACAAACAGTAAGGAGGAGTAAAGCGCTGAGGATCGCCATTAAGTAAAAGGAGGAAAAGTTTTTTTTGGTCAAAAAGCTATTTTTATCACAAAAATATAATTTTTGGTTGGAAACATTTTCCTCCTCACTTGCAGAAGAGGATAGCTCTCACTATCAGCGCTCCCCTCATTTTCCTCCTCACGAGTACGGTTATTTTACAAAATGAAAGTGGTAAATTCGGATACATTTTTGTCTACTACTTTTGAGTAGGTTTTCTGTTCCTTTTCAATGATTTTTTGGCTTGTTTCTCCATGTAAAATTGTGTAAAAAATAATATTTCAATCGCATATAGGTAATTTGTGCATTTGAAACACAAAAATATTCTCGAAAAATTTGAATGAAACCAACGTTCAAATCCGGAATATTTGCAACTTCAGTTCTGCAGTATATGCTACTAAAGCAGAACTTTCCTTTCATTTGTTACATCATGGGTTCAGTTGAAATAGAACTATAATGCGCCTGCATATATCCACAACAATATATTGACTAAACGGAATAAAGCTTGTATAAAATCAATCTCTTGCTAAATGGATGCCAAACAATGTAACATCATAAAAAAATTCATTTGCTCAAGTTTTAAATATCGCTAACACTGTTTACCATATGCTGTTTACCATATGCCGTTTGGTAGCTTTGTTTGTAATGAATTTTGGTACCAAATGCACGTCAACAAACGTTTTATGTGTACACAAATGGATATAATATTATTCCATTGAAATTTTCTAGCTTCTCCTGTGAAGTGGGAGGGAGCCAAGAAAGAAAAAAAAATAAAAGAGAATTTTCTTCTTAAATGATAAACAGCTGATTCAAGTTTTAACTCATCTAATTAGATTCATGCCGAATTGGGTTAAGTTGTTTGTCATATCGGACGTGTTCTTAGTTTTTATACGGTCTATTCCATCGACGCATTGCAAACGACAAAGTTTGAAGACAAGAGGAGCATACGTCCTCTTCTTCTCGTTTATCTCGAGTTGAAGCATTTTCATATTAAAGAAACAAACATTAAACTTGAAAGAATACATAGTTTGTGTATGTGTTTGTACAAGCACAAAAGAATCAAAGAAAATAAGATCCAGTAACTAGCACCTTTCTTCTGTCACTTGCATCTGCTTCTTTTATCGTCTTCGAAAGGATTTAGGAAATAAGTTTTTCACCCTCACTTCACATCACTCATCCACTCAAATATCTCTGCTCTTTGCCTCTTCATCATCCCCGGCATCAATGTATTGTAACAATATATAAATATAAGATGTAACAAAAATCGTGTTTTTTTTTCGAAACGAAGTGCATTCAAGGAAAATGTGTTATGGAAATTGTTGTCACATTTCTTTCAATCGTGCAATGAATGCATCCTGACAACAACAGTATATGGATAGAAGAAAAATTTGGCCACATTAAGGCAAGCAACGATCCACTCTATGCAGTAGAAAACAGTGAAGATATTAACAACAACAATAAAATAAAGAACGAAAAGAAGCTTGAAGGCAAGTACTTAAGAATACATCAGACAAACTTGTTAATAACGATATTTTGATCATGAAATGACGTTGAATAAAAGCGACTTGTAATGCAAATGACACAATCTGTTTGTGATAGACACACTGAAAGAGTGATTGAAATTACGAAAAAGAGAGCAAACGAATTAGCAATAGAAAGAGAAATCCAATAGACTCGTTTTCAATCAAATTGTGTTGGTTTTGTAATGACATAAGCTCGAAAATTCTGTGAGAGTTCAAAACATCAAGCACCAATAGCAATACATTTTCAAAAGGAAAATCTTTTCACTTTTTTAAAATAAGCTTCTGTTTTTCACTTTCAAAGTTTGTTCAATTCATTTATAAAAAGTGGAGTTTTTTTACACAAACATTTGGTTTGGATCTTTTTGACATTAAGTGAACCAAAAAGACGAAGGGAACAAAAGAAATCAGAATATTGATAATATCAACAAATCGTATTGGCTTTTTGGAAATTCATTGCAATTTATTCGCTTGAAGGCATAGATTAATTTTCCGCTTTTCATGACATTTATGAGATCAAAAAAGTCTGTTTGGCACAAGAACTTTTTTTGTACTACTGAATCTATGTTTTGCGTAATTTTCATATCTTTCTGTCGAGTGGCGACCCTTGAATGATCTTGTTATTTTTTTATATCAAAAATAACAATAGTGGGGTTACTAGGTATGATTGATCAATGTGAAACGATACAATCACTTCAAATGCTTTGTATTTTATTTCACAAATTGGCTACAAACGAGACTTTCTATTTCTGCATTTCCTCCTTCCTTTTTTGCTAAATCATTCGACGGGAATTCTACAACTTATTTACTTATGTGTGGTTTGACTGTCCCAGTATATGAAATTCAATTGCATATTTTATCAATTGCTGATATAATCTTAAGTGTACAAAGATTTGAAAATTATTCTGCAAAATTGTATGTTCAATAACAATTTACATTTTAAAGGCGAGATAATAAATAAACAGACTTGTAACCATAACAATAAAATGCAATAGCTAATACGGGTAGCTTAATTTGCATCGTCTCAACAGACTGTTAGAGGTAGGGTCAATGCAAAATTCAAAGTTTTGAGAAATATAAACGTGAGAAAAGATTTGTTGACAATTTGAATGAAGCCGATAAATTACAGATAGTATAGATTTTTAAGGAAAGGTGAAGACTGAAGAGAGATAATAGACATTTCAGCTTGATTCCAAATTTGGAAGGGTTTAATATGAATTAGTCGAATATGTATATTCACATTATACAACTGATTATTCCTTCAACTCGAAAATTATGACTCAATTTGATGGTTTTATATGGAAGTAGTAAAAACTACAATGTGCATACGTACTTTGTAAAAGAAATCGATGATTCGCATGAAGACTACTAAATATCACGTACATATATTTATGTGTATTCGAAACTTTGCATTGGTATTTAATTTACATAAATTGAATTGCTGACGAAACAGTATGTTGGCGCCCATGAACTTTGACTTTTCATCAGGTAGAGAAATATGTGCGTGAATGCTGCAGAATTTGAAATGAAATCATCGGAAAACATATATGTTGTTCGTTTTCGATTGAGTTATCAAGAATTCTTTCCATTTAAAATGCGAAAATCGCACATTTGTCTATCTAAAAAGATTCGAAGCATGTTGGATCTAAACGCAAATACGCCAGTATTTCGACCGCAATTTCAAAATTTCAAAGAGATAGAGAGAACTAAAGCGAACGGGTTGAAATTGAACTCAGCGGTGCTGCTATCACATTGTATATGTATGTATATCAACACACGTTCCACAATTTGAATTGAGAACGTATATAAAAAGCACTATGAAGTGAATTTATACTCAATTTCGGAATGCAATGTTATTCTTTTCAATTTGAACGAAAT